AGGTGCCTCTTACAGCCTCTCTTTGGAACCGTCATAAGCTAAACAAACCTATCACCAGAACGATGGTTAGACAGAACATCCATGAGGGTTTCTTTCATTGCTCAAGATTTCTATAAAGCTGGTGTGACTTCTTAATGCCATGACGATAGTTATAGCGCGAGAACAGAACGACGACAAAGAGACAAGAAGGAATTGCCGTCGTTCTGTTCTTGCGCTATAACTATCGTCATGTCATACCAACTAGCCCAAGCTGCCACACTTCTTATGCCAAACCGGCACCCAACGATTGTGCGATCTATAGCACCATGACGCACCAAGCTCTCACTTGTGCATAGTATTCCAGTCTTCAGCAAATGAACAATTATGTGCTTGTTAACTCACATATAAACCTTCTGCTTTTTCGCCCACAAGTTCCCAAAACATGCTCAGATATCGTCATCAAAATTCTCGTTTACTTATCAATCAAGATTGCTATGTAAATGTCATCGCGAATGATGTAATTACAAGTCACATATATTTATGACGCCCCGTCCTCGCACCCCTTTTTTTAGAAGAACGTATCGTATAGAGAAACAAAAGAAACAACGGAGTGCGTAGAAACTTGCTATGCGCTGCTGTAACAACACAAAACACATTTAGTTTGAGTTAGTAGGCGCGAACAAGTTTTACTCTCCGTCGCCTCGAAGCAAGTACCACCACGCATTTTAATGAGTACACCAGAAGATAAAGGCAGCTTTCAAACATTAAAAACTATAGTACAAAAACTATGAGACAGTCCCAGTTTTTCGCCTCTATCTGCTGAGAGGTAGCTCTGTAAAGTAGAATAGAGACTAAAGCCAAATATTCTGGCATGCAATAATCACAGAAAGGATTTGCTTTCAGCTAAAGCATCAAAAGTGGTGCGTTGCTTCGCATTGGTGCTTAACAATCGATCGTGGCCCAGCAAAATGGCAAAGCTGGAGCACCTCCTGTAAAATCTGGCCTGTTGTTTTATTTTTATTTTACTAAGTACGCCGCTTGTTTTAGACAGCTTCGGGTATAGGTCACTCAGAACTGACGTTCATTACTTATTTTCCGCCTTCGACCGAGCTTTATTTTTGGCGCAGCCTTAACGAGAGGGGTGTTATCTTTTGTGAAATAAGAACGACTTGCTTGTTGAAATGTGTTCGCCCGATAGTGGTTGCTCGTATGTGCATGATCTTGGCTTTATTGCGTGCACAACGGGTCATCATTGCGCCTAAGCTAGAGACGTGGTGAAACATAGCGTCAGCCGAAGTTCATGTACCTGTCGTGTGTTTGTTAGCAGGTATTTTTGTGGCAAATGACTCACATTTTTTTTAATTATGGAAGTTTATAAGTATATTATACTCTAAATTTTGTCATTTTAGCCTGTGTGGACACAAATTGTGCTTATTCATTATTCGACGTGAGTTCGCTATTGTGGTTACCTTAAGTGTCTCCTTGCGCATTATTTTCGGTAATGCTTATCCCACTCGTATCGATGGCGTATGCTTGGCTATACATGCTTTGTCAATGCTCTGTAAGGGTATAATGAAATATATTTTTGTCACATGGTGAGCACTCCTGAATTTGATAGCTGTTCGAGAACTAGCTGCCCCTCCAGACCACAAACATGTCTTTTCGTGTTTCTTTTTTTTTTGGCTCATTTACTTTTTTCTTCGTAATAAGGCATTTGGCGGTAATGTAACGTATAGTCAATTAACTGTTTGTAAAATAAATGTTGATAAATAAAATTTTCAAATTTTCACAAATATAATCTATCTTTCTTTCGTTCTCTCTCTCTCTCTCTCTCTCTCTCTCTCTCTCTCTCTATATATATATATATATATATATATATATATATATATATATTTATATATATATATATATATATATATATATATATATATATATATATAAGGGAAAGAAGTGTATACCTAAGGGCTCGTTTTTCCGTGTTTTTAACACAATAATAATGAGATATAACAGACAGTAATGCCAAGGAATGTACAGGGGAAGTTATTAACATTAATGAAATGTAAATAAGAAGAAAGAAAAGTGGATGAAAAAATTACCAACTGTAAGCAGGAATCGAACCTACGACCTTCGAATTACGCGTTCGATGCTCGTAGGTTCGATTCCTGCTTACAGTTGGTAATTTTTTCATCCACTTTTCTTTCTTCTTATTTACATTCCATTAATGTTAATAACTTCCCCTGTACATTCCTTGGCATTACTGTCTGTTATATCTCATTATATATATATATATATATATATATATATATATATATATATATATCATGACAGCTGTACTTCCATAATATTGTATAGATATTGTTCTTGGGCTCCAGAAAACTCATATTCATATGAGTGCAGAGCCCTCGTAGCGTAGTGTATATTCTACCAGTCAGTTTCTAGGTACGGATTCAGCCATTAAAATAATGCTGTTCCCACAAACCCGCTCTCACGTGGCGTATTAAACTAGGGAGCACTGAATAAGCTGATGCACCTTACTATACTTTTAAAATCATACCATCGAGGCCGATCTCTGAACTACAAATTAGTTTAACCTAAAACACTAAAGCGGAATTCATACAATAACAACCAACCTCCGCCATTGTTTCTCTGCAGCAGTAACACCTGTCCCCTTCACGAACAGGCGCACGGTAGTGAGGTTGTTTGGCTACAGAGATTAATTAGTCGAGGATGGGCTGCTCGCATTCTGTCAATGAAGTTCTGATATATATACGGTGCCATTTCTCGAGTCTTCGTGTAAAAGCGCCGAGAACACATCGTTAAGTGCTTCAATGACGTAAGCAGGAAGTCGCGACGTCTGATGCTACACGTGGTGGGAATTAGAGAGAGTGGTACGTAAAACAGAATACTGGCAGTGCTTATTGCTGAACTATTTCAGACGAAAGAGGTGAAGAGTCGTCACAGTGAATAGTGCAATCGACGGTCATAGGCGCGTACGCATGTATAAGGAGTCACTTCCGGTTGCACTTAGAAGGCCTTGAAAATGTGAGAGAACGACATGCTGTGGTCGAATACGAACTGCGCAAGAGTGAGTGGGCGACTAGTCTATGAAGCGAGGAGCAAGCTACAGCAATGTAATTGTGTAGATCGCTCAGTGGCAACTGTATTTGCGAAAATTTTGAAGAGAGAGCATCGCATCATTCCTTTCGATGACAGCGTGCCTTGAAAAATGGTGAAAGTAACACGTACACGTGCCCTACGCAAGAGACAATCCTGGAACGTCGCTGACTATGTCTGAAAGCAGAGCATGCAATCCACCGCTAGAAGTGCGCCGCAAAGCCAAGTAGAAAGGGAACCTGGACAAGGAGGCGGGTTTGTTCATGGAAAATGGCACGTGTATGGACAAAGGGAAGGCACGCCAGTTGGATATCCTTGTAGAGGCAAAGAGGGAGGATGTTTCTTTTCTAGCAATGGCTCTCCCCTCCTGGCAGCATTGCTGTGGTTGTAAAGTGATGAAGCGTCCGCTTTTAATGTGCGAGATTTGATTTCCAGCGCCGCCGGACCATTCTTCCGTACCCCCCCATCTCCCGGCAATGCTGCACTGGGCTTATATTGGTTGGAGAAAGTAGCGTCTCTCTGACTTTAAACCACAATATCTCCGCGTGACATAATAGGAAAAAAAGGAGTTCTATTTCTTTTACCTCTAACAATAATGACCAGATTTTGAATCGTCTTATGGTAAGACACTATCAAGATGTCTCTTTTCAACAACCGGTCTGCAACAGAGATTCGCAGTGGGGCCTTGTGCGACGCCCTTTTAGATAGATAGGGACAAAGATAGAGACAATCGAGGGATAAATACGACATTGTTGGTGTTTATGGGGATGGCTTCGACGTATTCAGCAACACGTCTTGATTTAGGCAATTAGCCAAATCTGTCCCGTTATCGGCAAGTGTCACATTAGCCCGCAGGTAAACTGAGCCCCCTACACGCACTCGCTTTGGCTTCATTTCATGTCATAGCTAAGATTATGTCGCGCGCCTGGCCCCTTACAACAAGCCGCGTCTCGTTAGCGCGGGTGAGAAAATTGTTTTCCACTTTCCATTCCTGTAATGATTCAAGCCAACACGTAGCTTGAAGTTTGAGTAGGTCCACGTCTGCACTTCTCATGAAAAAAAAAAGTTTGACACACGAGGAAATGTCCCCTAATTTATGCTTTATGAACGGCAATAACATGTAAATCTGGGTCAGTTCGATTACATTGAGTTTCAAAAGCTGCACAGGAGAGGCAAGTACACATTACCAAGAACTACATTAGACAGTCCTGTGCACTTCTCCGTCTTGTGTTCTAGTCTATTTTGCGCTGATATTTTTAAATTGATATATTTGTGATACAATTGTGACTGCTTTCTAAAAGATGTTTCAAGCATTATTCTACAACCTTGATTTCGCTTTTATAGACTTTTCGGCACAGAGTGTAATTTTTGCGCATTTATCAACAAGCACTCATAACTTTTGACCTAAAAGTTTATTGGAGTGTTCATCTTCCTGACGACGTAATGTGCTACTCTGGGATGCAGGTGACTAATATCGTCTACACATTAATTATACAAACACTCAAATGGTACATGCACTGGCGTGTTCACACACCATACACAATTAAAAGAAGGTAGTTAGTAGGCCTTTGTATAATATACAATCCATACAACTGATCTTTCATCCACTTGGTCTTGTTGAGCTAAACAAACTGATGCCTAAAGCTGTTACTTTAATTTCTGCAGATAATAGCCAGCACCGCAAAGCAGAGCACCCTTGCGAAACTTGTTAAAGAAAATGTAACTTTCACTGGAAAACTAGATATTCACCATATTGGCCCTATGCGTGCTATTATCAGATTAGAAGTACTTTCAAAGCATTTTTGACGGCACCGCAATTACTTTTTATAAAACTGACAGGCTGTGCTGAATGAAAATCAAAGCAACACTAATTCAGGTGATTTAATTATAATTTTGTGCTTGTGCAGGTCACTGGAGGCGTTGTTTAACAACGTTTGCACTGGCGACGGCGGCAATGCTTTGTAAGGAGCAAGGCATCACAGTTCTTGCAGTCTGCTGCGTCTACGAGCTTGCTTCATGTGCTGTGAGTGTACTTAGACCTTTCGTTCTCCCTTATTTGTTTTGTGTGTGTGTGTGTGTTCGTGCATGTGTGTGTGTGTGTGTGTTCGTGCATGTGTGTGTGTGTGTGTGTGTGTGTGTGTGTGTGTGTGTGTGTGTGTGTGTGTGTGTGTGTGTGTGTGTGTGTGTGTGTGTGTGTGTGTGTGTGTGTGTGTGTGTGTGTGTGTGTGTGTGTGTGTGTGTGTGTGTGTGTGTGTGTGTGTGTGTGTGTGTGTGTGTGTGTGTGTGTGTGTGTGTGTGTGTGTGAAGTTATTCTCGAGGTCTTGCACAACAATCGGTTGTCCATGGCATGTGCCCGAATAACATCAAAAACACCTTCCAACCAGCTACTGAGAAAACTGAACTAAAGAGCTCCGTCAAACTGGCAGCAGAGCGAAAATTCGGCTAGCCACTCTCGCTAATGACCGAAGTGGGCTGACTAATATAGCTTATGCGATAGACAAAGAACAGAAGTTCACTATCTTTTGTGGGTAAAGGACGGCACCTTGATACTCCCAGAGCTGCATCTATGTCGACCCGCTATCTGTTTACCTCTGCGCCCCTTCCCTCGTCTCGATCGCGCATTCGGGGCCGTTTTCTCCCGCTGTTTGCGTTCGTCAGCTGTGCCCATCTCGGTGTTGATCTTGTTTTTCGGGGTCGGAGGCAAGAGCGTTCGAGAGCGTGCTTTATCCAGCGCAGCCCCCGGCGCAGTTGGCTGCTTCGCTTGACGCGTGACAAATACCATTATCGGCGCCGCTCGATGGACAGACTACTCGCAAACATTTGCGCTCGGCGCAGCAGAGAAAGTGTTCGTGCCGCGACGCGCCCCGCCGATCGATTGCACGCCGCGTCGGCCGCGTGATTCACGCGGAAATTTCTAAACAAAAGTCATCTTTTCTCTTGGTGCCACTCGCGACGCCTCTGCAAGAGCAACGGTGCTGCTTCTGTGGTTTGTGCCGAGTTTTTACTCAGCCTTGGCGCCCTCTTTGCTGGCACCTTCGGCATGGTCGCATTTTATATGTCTCTCTCACGCTGATGCTATTCGCTCGTGAAGTCTGAGAACGAAAGTAGAAATTCCAAATGTTTTCTTTTACTCATACACACAACGTTCAAGTATGGGCTGCACGAGATCCTTTACACAGCTGTCAGTAGCCGTAGTGCGCTAATTCGACGTGACTAGCTCACTCAGAAATTCAGTTTATGAGTACTACTAAACATATCTTGTATGTTTTTTAGCTTTATTTCTCCTAACTTCTTGTTGTTTTTTACTGTGTGCTTGCCAATTGCTTCACACTACACAGCCAATGAATTTTTTAGGCAAAGTTGTGGCCCAGGTTTAGGGAGAGAGTGTTTCAGATTACTGCGGGGATTCTCTTAACACTAAGCATAAAGCTGTTATTTCCCGCTCACGTATATCATAGGAAAAAAATGTGTAGTTTAAAATCATCGCATTTTGTATGTATCCATTTGGCGAAAAAAAGAGCCATTTTTGAAAACAATTCGGTTTAGCAGGGTACCTCATATTGCAAAGTGTCACGAGAGAATACCAAAATCTGACGTGTCAGATTCCAGTATTCTTCTCTCTCTCACACACACACCACAAACTGCGAACAGCAATTTTGACACCATGGGACCACACATGTGATCTTGATTTGATTCTTAAGTGATTCTGCTACTGGGCTAGAAGAAGCCGGGAGGCTCTATCTGACCATCAATGAAGCTTTGTATAGGCCAGCTGCACTCATTAAGGAGGCGTCTGTCGAGTTCTTGCAATCATCGTAACGATAAACAACTGCACTAACTTTTGCTATTGTAATTATTTTTCTACCTAAATAAATCACACAGCAACGTCTGCCGTGAGTCAATGCACCGCTCCGCTTTATGTTGTCATGGAGAAAACGTTAAAAGGGGCACGACGCGCTTTCCTGTACCTCCTTTATCTCCTTTATGTCGGTTTTCTCGTTGTGGTTCTTAAACGATCCTTGTCATCGAGGTCAAAATAATATGGCGCGCTGATGTGTGGTTAGGATATACGCGCAGTGTTTGTCAGAGAACGTCCACTTTAGAATGAAGACGTGTGCATACAAAGGCGTGAAGGTATATACATACAAATTGCTACCGTTCTGGAAAGTTATCTTATATGCAAGTTTCGCGACCACGTGTATGTGCGTGCGTGTGCCAGCAAACGTGCACCTGCGTACGTAATCAAGACTTCATTAACTGAAAACTGGATCGACTCGCTGATTTACGGTATTAACACCAAGTAGAGATAGTACCACACTCTTTGAAGTTATCGCAATTGGTTTCGTATTATCGGCTCTTCCAAGAAGCACACTTTCTTTATTAGTGTTCTGCTGCTGTAGAAGCGCGTGCACATGAAGTGAGTCTGGTTGTGGAGGTGGTGCCTGGAAGTGTATTCTAGAGACGCGCCCTGAAAGCGATATCTAGCACTCTCATTGAACTAAAAGAGATACTTTACCCACTAAGAAATTACTCGTCTAAGCAATGAAAACCAAGGCAATGTGTCGATTCCCGTTTGGAGTTGGAAGACCATGTCAGAGGTGGGCCACGACTTATTCTGCCACGTATAAAAAGTTTAAGAACGTTGGTGGAGCTTATCAGGTCTCAGTAACGGCTTGTGACGTGCCCCATAAGAAAGCTCTATGCCACCTTCTCTTCATACTTACAAGCATAATCTTCGTTGCATGTTGGACGGGCTTAAACCCTACAGCTGTATTCGTGGGGTTGTAATTGTCATCATGAACTCCCGTATGTTGTTGTTGTTGTTGTTGTTGTTGTTGTTGTTGTTGTTGTTCCAGAAAGAGTAATCCCTGTAGTGTTTGGCTTCCTCTCTCTTGACGGAGGAATGTTGCTAAGATATGTTGCAAACCTCTAATGCTAATTAACGGCTACGGCACCGGGCTGATAAGCATGGACACTAGGGATCAGATACCACCCCTGGCGGATGTATTTAGGTGCCGATGAATTGCGATAAATCATGGGCATCGCCCATCCTGAGGTGAACATGAAGGGAAGAAACTCCACGTTTCGCGAAAATAATCTTAATTTCCTAACTATGGTGTGCCTCATAATCAGATTGCAGATTTGTAATGTAAACTCTCTCCAACTAAACAGTGCCTTTGTTTTTCTTAGTTTTTGCTCCCTAAGGCAAGGCACAGGCACCTTACTGCAAAGCGTGCTCCACCTGCTTTATGTTGTGTGTGAGGTGAAGCCACGCTTCAGCAACCCACAAAAATAATCTTTTCCTTTTTCCGTCCTCGGGTACCAGATTTGGTACCGTTGTTTCAAAGGCTACACATAATCACAATTCTATATCCACTTGTCCAATTTGTCTTGGCATAACAACTATGCATTGCTTTCACGAAGCCCTGAGAAGTGGCGCCATGTATCTAGTCATATTCGCAAAACAAGCAAACGAAAATGACTGAGTACTGCACGAACACAGGAATGCGTACTGCACGAGTGCTCGGCTGCGCTCTCGTGATAAATGAAAGCTTTCCTTTCTTTGTTGTAATATGAACAACAACGTATATAGTACATTCTTTTAACTGGAGACGCCCCGGTACATCATATTGAAAGTCACTGCGGTCTGGCATTTTGTTTCTCTCAATCTTAGAGCCTTCCAAGGAACATGAATAAGCAAATGGATACGATTACATTTTGAGACAACCGTTCAATTTTTCCGATTCATAATACTTGTGCGTTTGCTTTCAAAGGCAGAGAGTCAAATATTACACTTTTGCAAAAAGCTTATTTCATTGGCGCATTATTGGGACTGAGGAGGATAAGATACCATAAACGCGTTAGCACTAAAGATATGGGTTTTGTTTGCTATATACAAGAAAATGATGATCTGTGCATCTATTCGTAGTTGCTTCCGCGCGCGCGCGCGTGTGCGTGTGTGCGTGTGTGCGTGTGCGTGTGTGTGTGAGAGAGAGAGAGAGAGAGAGAAAGAGATTACATATTGGCGCTTTAATGATATTTTAGTGTAGAAAGCCTTAAGTGTCTAGGGCAGTGTCGCGTGTGGTGCTGAAAAAATACAGCTTGTGGGCTGCCGGTGTTGATAATTGTGATTTAATAGCCACACTAATGGCTTTCGCTTTCTAGTCGTCTTATACGAACGCATAAGAAACCCTGTGTATTTTCGTTTTATTGTTGGTTAAATAATGAATTCATTATTATATGTAAAGCTGGATTCTTAAAATAAAGATTGGGTAAAAAAATATTTCGCGTTCTGCTTGTCTTTGCGCTGCACGGTGACACCTTCGACTGTGAAGTTTTACTGAGTATTTTATTTTTATAGACCCCCTGGATGTCGTTGTGCTTGTCTACGTGGGGTGCATGGAAAGATAGCCTCTACCGAGTTTTCACTTTGGCATCGTTGGCAACTGCAGCAGTTCTGGCACGTATTCACTTGAACGGGCCTCACCTGCCTGCCTTCAACCGGTGAGTATAACATCTTCCACAGAATTTTTTTGTCTCACTTCTGAATTGTTTTCGAATAGGGCGACTTCTTTTGTACAGGACCGGGGTAAAGAATATAATCATACTGGGCAACAACCCGTCAACTAGGATGTTTTTTTTTTCTGAGACTCCAAGTTTTTGGTCATAATCTTAAAAACTTGTTGCGTTCATCGACATTACTCGAAACTATTTCAAGCCACTTTTTGTGGGTACCAGTGCCAGTCAGCTTCCATGCATTGCAATGCGAATCAACAAAGCTCAAATCATTCATAACAAACCTTTTAGCTTCGTCAGACCAAATCATGACTAAAATTCTAGCATTAAGGGCATAATATAGCTCCGTGTGGCCACCGTTAGCCCACAGTTTCATAACACGGCTCATGAGGTCCTACACCTCATCTTTCACTTCATTGCATGTTGCCACGCGTAGGGCAGCAAATTGGCTATCCTAGACTGGATGGCATCCGCACCTTTCCTTCTCAACCATTTATTCTCTCTTATTGCATGTATTACTGCTCGATGCACATACCAAGGAGGAGTGGTAGAAATGAGAAATTTCCGCATCATTAAAAATTCGTGGTTATATACAACATTCGCTAATATTCAAATAAACCAGTAGTGTCTCAAATCGAAGCTATTGATGCGTGGAGATGAGAACAGCCCTTCAAAGTTACCGCGAGGAATGAGAACTGCCAAGCATTGATGGTAATATGTTTGAATACCTTACAAACACACACTGCAACAAAATAAGAATGGTAAAACGCGAGCTTCTTGAAAATTTGCTTTATTGTTCGTTTCGTGAAAAACCGGGAAATTTTATCTGTCCTGAAAATTTGTCAATTGGTCTCATTGAAAAGATTATGAGTAAGCAGCACTGTGTTCATTCCAGTGAGTGGTGAATGGGGAGATGCCCTCGTATAACGTCATTTCCTGTATCCGAGGTACTTTGAGCACAATCACGAATGTCGCCTGAGCCGTGTGCGTTGATTTCATGTATTCATCCCCCAGTTAGCTTAGCTTCAACACTGAGAAGCCTTAGGATTCTTAGGTTTGAAGGATTCACTGCTAGCAATTTCGAGGCACAGGATTCACGCCGGCAAAATCAAGCACCTCTTCAAGCACAACAACATTCATCAGAAGTTCAGAACGCCCACAATGTAAAGGTCTAAATGAGGGCACTAATTAATCAGTCCATCATAACTCGCCTCCGATGCAAGACCAACGATCGACCCCGAATACCATGGACGCGCCTCCTCTCTGACGTTGTTGACGAGTACAAAAACCTCATGAAGTCACGGGCTACTAGCCTTGTTACATTATGTATGGCACACCATGTGCCCCTATGTCCTCTTTTATGTGGTTTTGTGGTTAACTCTCATAAGCAGTGTGTACATATATAATAAAATAGCACCAGTCTTAATGAACAATATTGTGTCGTTCGAAGGGCGGAGAGAAAAGCCATAGTTTATGATTCGTGAAATGCGTTCTAAACCGATATCAGGCTCGATGGTGCTTTGGTACGCTACGCTTGATTCTCGGTACATAATGGTGCAAGCGTGTGCAGTGGGACACAAAAGTACAGTTTATCATGTTCCTTTCGGTTGCATCATTCCAAAACATACAGCCAGCAGTGGCAGCCGTACAATCTATCGACTGTTCTACCATTGACATTGCATTGATGTATCTGCAACTACGCAGGACACTTTTATGTATGGTTGGGCCGAAAAAACTTCGGGGGTAAAGGTGAATGAATAAGAAATGAAAAGAAGCAAAGCGCCCATCTGAACCTATTAAGCAGTGCAGAGGACTTGTGTGTATAGCCTAATCTCGCGTTTCAAGGATATCATTGCATTAGGGACGCGTCCTATATTCTTCGCCCGTTTATCATGTGTCTCTGCCCCTGTTCTTTTTTTATTTTGTTTTTATTCGATTGATAGAGCAGCGGTCTTTTTCATCTAGAACAGTGCGTGAATGTGCCATCTGTGTTGCCATCAAAGCAACCATCCGTAATTTCAAAACGTGTGTCAACGGAAAACATACAGATAATATAACAAATAAGAGCGATGCAAATGAACAATTCTAAAGTCAATGATGTTAAGCTACGTTTTGCTGTATTGCTGAAGTCGTCAGGCGTGTACACATTAGGTGGTGAGCGAACAGGACAGAAGAATGGCGAATCGACTTTTACTCATCTTCATTGCAACATTCGTAGATAGGAGCAAAATGCTCCCCACAAATGCGCCAGCATGTTCGCCACGATGTTAATGAATCGTCCTAAAGAAAGCAGAATAGGTAGCTTACGCTTATAGTATGCGCATGCTCCAGAAATGTTCATGTACAAAAAAAGATAATGGATCAATTAAATGTGAGGTCAAACGTGACTCAGCTGCATCTCCCTCACCGGCGCGGTCGCGTAAGTGCTCCGCTTTTATTGGGCACGTGACCTCGCACCGAAGTACACCAGGTTTCAGGTTGGATTCTTGTCCCAAGGCTTGGATTTAATGCGAGCGAAACGGAGTGGAGTTCATTGCAGTTAGTCGTACGTTATGTATACACAATGATACGCAATGATAAAAAGTTTGTGTGTGTGTGTGTTTGATTGATTGATTGATTTGTGGGGTTTAACGTCCCAAAACCACCATTTGATTATGAGAGACGCCGTAGTGAAGGGCTCCGGAAATTTTGACCCCCTGGGGTTCTTTAACGTGCACCCAAATCTGAGTACACGGGCCTACAACATTTCCGCCTCCATCGGAAATGCAGCCGCCGCAGGCGGGATTCGAACCCGCGCCCTGCGGGTCAGCAGCCAAGTACCTTAGCCACTAGACCACCGCGGCGGGGCATATGTGTGTGTGTGTGTGTGTGTGTGTGTGGGTGGGTGGGTGGGTGGGTGGGTGGGTGGTAGGTGTGTGTGTGTGTGTGTGTGTGTGCGTGCGTGTTAAGAGGGAGACTAAAAACGAAGGTTTCAAATGATTCCGACTGCGAACCGAAGGACCCTTGTAATTAGTACATGTCTAGAGCAAAGAATGAACAACGAAAGATTAAATTTCATTTATTCAAAATGTTTAGTAAGTGCTTACAAAACTCTGAATAAAGACATCTGCCTCATTCATTGCGTGTATAATTTGCAGCTTCGACAACCCGGCATCAGTGGCTTCTTCGCCGTCACGCCAGCTGACTTACAACTATCTGACAGCGTTGAACGCCTGGCTCCTAGTCTTCCCAAGTGATCTCTGTTGTGATTGGACTATGGGAACAGTGCCGTTAGTGAGGTCACTGGCGGACGTGAGGAACCTTGGAACGATGGCCGTTTACCTTTTCTTGGCGATGGCAACAAGGGCTGCACTTCGAGCTGACGAGCAACACCGAAAGCCATTGCTTATGGTGAGACCATTGTCAATGCAGGCACGCGCGAAGGCGTCCAGAAAGTAGGAAATTAATTTGCTCGCAAAATCGAGATGAAATAAGTTAAAACGACCAAACGACATCGGCCCAATGTTCAATTATATGGAAATGCGAAGAGTCACAAAATGAGTATTAGAGAGCCTTTTAGTATTAAAACAAGTTGCCAAAGCCTACTGGAATGCTGTACAATCTCATTAGTCAGGCCTTTGTCAGATATCAACCTATATGCTCATTTCCGATCATGGGGGTTATGACTGCATCGTAGGCTGTGTAGTTAAATTGACGTCGAAGTCCCTCACTTGTAGAAACGTTGTAAGCGCTCATTCATTCTTCCAGACAGATGCGCTTACTGCAATGCCATCTAAAGATGTGTTCTATCTCTAATTAGGTATACAGGGACTGTTACTAGCTCCGGGAATTACATGATTTAGGAGAATCTCTCTACAAATCTGGAAAAAAAAACATCGTCCTGTCTGTGGTCTCCTGATCTGCCCTCGCCACGAATACGTGAATGTGTTTTTCGGTTTCGGTACTACTTGTTGAATCCACCAATTGTCTCGCAGGGGCTGTCCTTGGCTTGCATACCGTACCTACCTGCGTCCAATCTCCTTCATCCCGTGGGCTTCGTTATCGCTGAGCGGGTGCTGTACTTGCCAAGCCTGGGTTTCTGTCTTCTAGTGGCACAGGGTTTTAGTCTTCTCTGGCAACACTACAGGTGAGAGATGCGGCTCGGCGAATAAAAAACAATAACGAAAAAACAACAATGACCAACGTGAGAATGGCAAATACACAGCCACCTCCCTGAAGCTATGTGCAGTGATACGCCTCACACCTCACAATTCAGGAGATGCTCTGGTGGAAAAAAAGGCCAGTCATGTAATCCAGGTTAACACGCATGTTGCAACATCACAGACGTCACCACCTAGAAAATTGCATTTCCAATGTTGCGTGTCGTCGTTCGGTGTAAGTGGTAGCCTACGTATTCAAAGAAAAATGGGAAAGTGATGTTGCCATAATATACTAAAAATCAATTAAATGCTTAATCTGTCCTGTATGAGCCAAATACTTCATAACAAACTGAATAACGCCAAGCAATATAGTGAACCTTGGCAATATATTTTATCATGTGTTTGCTTTGTATGTGCGCATAATTTTTACTAATCAAGCGATCGACGTTTTCAAAAATAAAAAAAAACTAAAAAAGTATACACATTACGTTTGCTCATATACGAAAGCGGCATCATTTGCAGAAAGATGCAAGAACCTCGTCTGTATAAATAGGCTCGAAAACATACTTTTTTCTCTTCGATTATACGTACGCCCCCCCTCCCACCATGACCACCACCAAAAAAAAATTTTTTTTAATTTGCCTAGCGCAAAATTTCCGAGGAAGCTGTATTCCTGCTTTGTCTGAGAACATAGCTTCCAAACAGATGTTCCAGCTTGTAGTAATCTTGCGACCAACGCAGCTACCTGCTAGTTTAGTACCGCCGTGCAACTAACAGAGCAAAAATTCACATTTTCAGTGAAGCACGCGTTCCCTAAACATTCGGGTGCAGTTGTACGTATTTCTGAACTGTGTTGTAGCTGCACAAGAAAGGTGATTTGAAACATTTTCCACGAACAGCTTTCGCCGGATATTTAGACATTGACTATTATGTTATTTTCGCATATTTCAGGTATAATGGAACATGGCTCAAACTGGCAGTCACCATTTTGCTGCTTACCCACTTCACGAAAACGGTTCTTCGCAACTACGACTGGTGAGATAAGACACAGTGATTATTAAATAATGCTTTCAATGCTATGCTTTTATTTCTTTTTGATCTGTTCTATACACCTCGTTTTCTCCTATTCAGCGTGGGAACACTGAAAGATGAAAGAGCCAGCAAGTTGGATGTTTCAGCCGCTTTATTGCTCTGCCATGGTTCCGATGCATTATGCATAAAACTCTGACGTCGAAGTACATCATTCAATACCGTTGATTACGTTATATGTATTATTTAACGAAGTCCTTAAGCCATTTTATTTTGTATTCACCTAAGATTGCATAGTTTCAATATCGATGTTGCAACTAGGTGTACGCTGGTCATCTAGAAGAATTTTTTGCATGGTCCTGTCATACTGTTTGAAGGCTTTGAGAAGACAGAGGAACCCAACTCGACGCAAGTATGAGCGCATTTGCGACGCGTTTTAGGGTACCATTGTAGACAAAACAGTGTGCGCAGTTTAAAATGCGTGCGCAGTCATGTCACTATGACAAAGTTTAAGGCTTGTCGAACGGTGTACAACGATAACAGGTGTATACATGACAGATGTCTGACGCATGTTTTGATAAATTGAAGGAAAGCGCACCCTCTTTTGCCGTTTACCCATTCCGAAATACAGTGCCGCTTACCCATTCCGAAATACAAGCCAAAAATATTGATTGATTGATTGATTGATTGATTGATTGATTGATTGATTGATTGATTGATTGATATATTGATTAATTGATTGATCGATAAGAGAGGTTTAACGTTTCAAAACCATTATATGATTATGAGAGACGCCGTAGTGGAGGGCTGCAGAAATTTCGGCCACCTGGGGTTATTTAACGTGCACCCAAATCTGAGCACACGAGCCTGCAGCATTTCCGCCTCCATCGAAAATGCAGCTGCCGCAGTCGGGATTCGATCCCGTGACCTGCGGGTCAGCAGCCGAGTAACTTAAAGACCACCACGGCAGAGCATGACCAGGCATGGGTATGCACCTAGTGGCACTTACCAAATAGTTCATAATATGTGACGTTCTACGTCCCAAAACCACGGTATGATTAGGAGGGGCCACATAGTGGAAGACTCCGAAAATTTGGGTGATCTGGTGCTCTATAACGTCACTGAAATCACACAGTACACTTTACAATATTCTAAGGCAAGTCACCAAATAAATGTCTTCAATGCAACGTGCTAAATTATGAAGAGCAAGTAGAAACAAAATAAAAAGAAAACCTTCACTTTAAAACTTATTTCAGTGCACTCAGTTTCTGTTGGGTTCTTTTACTGAAAACTACGTGGTGGGTTTTGTTTCCAACAGTGCCAGCTGCCTTGTATTGCGCGGATGTATGAAAGTCCCTCGTGGCCTCGGAATGGGTGTGAATTATCTAACCTCGTGAAGGTGAACAAAGTTATAGTGGAGCCCGACGCTTGCTGCTGGGTGACCCGTGGGTGGCTGTGGTACAAGAAGCTCCGCGTGCTCAATTTTTCTCTATGCATGCAAGAAATGTTTGAAGACTATACAAGGAAAGTACGAGGAAAACCCGAGAGGGAAAAAAAAACTGTGTTTCTGGTTACCGCAGCACGCCCTTTCAAGTATAAAGGTTTTCTTTTTTTTTAATTTTTTTGTCAGAATATCGCATTGTTTCTTCTTTATCTACTTCGCGCATTAACAATACACTTTTCCGCATTCTCTGCCCGTCGCTGAAAGTCTGTCGTTGCTAGAGACGCAGCAGCTGCGGCCTTTTTCACAGACACTCTCGCGTGGCAATGGCGGAGGAAGGGGCCGAAGTTAATTTGCTTGCAGCGTGGCAATTCTTGTTTAGCGTAGGAAGTGCTCCATCTCCGACGCACTCAGGAATGTCTAATAAAGGTTTCGCATACACGGTACTCTATAGACACGGCGTAAAAACAAAAAAAAAACTTTTTCACAGCCCTCTCCTCGTCAATTTTTGTACTTCGCGATGAAAAAACTCTTCATCTTCGGCGCACTTTAAACTGCGAGGAAACAAAGTGCATTCCCAAACGTGCATGCTGGCGAACGCAAGCAAGCGAAATTTGAATAATAAGAATGGATACGTTGTGCGTACGTGCATAATAATGAAAGAAAAAGGTGATTTTATGCCAGCATCACACTAGCAAACAGAGCGGTTTCTTTCGCTCTCCCTCCCACTCTCTCTTTTGAGCGGCAGGATTTCCACTAACTGCCCCACTTCACCGGCCACGTTCATAGAGCGGCCGTCGTGCGACACTCGACACTCTTGGTGTCGCGCCCCTTCACTCGTCATTTCTCCTGGTTATACGCTGCGTTCCATATAGCGGCCCTGTTTAATCCTGTCGCAGCTTTGTTTTTCTTCATGTTTCTGTTGTCGTCCCCCATTGAAAATTGGCCTCGGAGTAGGGTGAGACTGACAGGGGAGGGCGACGCGGGCTTTCCAATGGCCCAGGGCCAGGTGGCCGGAAGAGTGGATTGCGCAGCTTATAGAGCCGGCGCGGCACCGCAGGGGAGAGAATGTGCCGAGCGGTGACCGAGCCCGGTGCGGTCGAGGCAGTGCAGAGAGGGAGGCCCGCAGAAATTATGCAAGCGTGGGGATCGATTTCACAAAATCGAAGGCCTCCGGTTCAGACAATCGATCATTGTCATCTTTCACGGAATCCTAAGCATTTCGGAGCACACTTCCTTTTTTTCCTCCGTCGGCCGTTCGTCTTGTGTTTTCTTTGTATAATCTTCGGGGGTGTCCTCGCTGCCTTTGCTATCATTGCTTGACTTTCCTTTCTTTTTTTTTTTTGCTGTTTTATTCCGTTCTCTGGTAGGTATAGCGGGGGAGACTTCGTTTAGACAGACAGGAATACATAAGCGCCAGACTCGCCGCCATGTGAGGATCGGTATGAGGACCCTACCGCGCGGCGTTCGAAATTTAGTAACATCAAGGTTCTCTCGGTGGTTCATCCTTTGGGCTTTTATGCTTTAACTTGCATTTCCCGCGGAGAAGAAGGTTTGCTGCTACTGCCACCGCCTGGCGTTTTATCACCGTCGAGAGAATACTTTCCTCGTCATCGTCTTCACTACCTTTTTTTGTCGTTGTTTGTTTTCGCCGCCTGGATCGTTCCCGTTGTCTTGTCGACTGCATCTTTTCACTTCGCTTTCATTTTCTGCCGCCCCAAAATGCGTTGCACCGCAAGCGACACAAAAATGGAAGTGCCACCTATCATTAGGTTTTCTCTCACTTTTTTTCTTCGTCCTTACACTTCACATTTTGTTTTGTATCTTCATATCCCCTTTTTTTGAGGACAAAACAGCCTGTCCTTAATGCACTGTTCACCTTTCCTTTTCTCTGTCTCTCTTTCTCTCTCTTCCTAAAAATTTTTTTCAGATCACACAACATCGGTTCCATGACTACTTTTGCGCCCCGTTGCTTTTTATTCACTCGTGACGCAATCTGTATTTGTTGCAGCACTTCCGCCAGGAAGTGTAACAAAGAAGGCAACTTCTTTCATCGAAGTTCAGATATGGCCTGTATTATTCTTTTCGCCGTGCTGCTGTTTTCCTTCCCAACCGGAGCTCGAAAAAAAAGCATTGTACGCAGCTATATGAACGGGAAAACAGATTATTTTTTCCTGTTTGGTTTACAGCGTCTTAGAATAATATCTGAAAAGTCAGTATAATGCATTTATTTTTAAGCAACGCTTTGAAGCTAAAATAATTGAAAAACCTTAAATGTTAGTACTAAAGCCCCCCCCCCCCCAAAAAAAAAAAGGTGTCGTAGAATGACACGTCTATACCAGATATTATTATGGCTTCAATGGGAAGTCGACGGATGGTCAGGGGATTCGCAACGTTTGTGAGCTGTTTGTGTTCAATTATTACATATTTTTGTTAATTTTTTTCTTCGAGTACTTTTAACAAAACTTCTTGCCCATTTGGGGGGGGGGGGGGAGGGGGAGGGGGAGTGTTCGAATTTTTATTCGGATCCCATTTGGATACCTTTCGCGATTCCTTTACAGACCTCCGAAGGATTAGTCATGTCTATTTTTCGGTTTGACTTGTGATATATCTGTTTAAATTGAATTCTCGTGTGTAGAAACTCTTTATAAGCGTGGGTATTACTTGCAGTGGCATCGCTATGTCTGAACTCAGGCTTGTTTTAGTTTGTACGTTCTTTCAAAAAGATGTTTTTCTAAGCCTACCAAGTGTGTTTTATTAATGTCAGCGTGAGTGAAGCGTGTTTTTGTAAAAACAGTATCGCTCGATTTTTTTCTTTCTTCTTAAATTTAAGGTCATCCGAACAAGCCTTGTACCAGTCTGCGCTTCGTGTGAATCCAAGGAACGCAAAAATGTTGAACAATCTCGGACAAGTTTTGGAAGCGTCCGGAGCTTTCGAAGAAGCGCATTCTCACTTTACTCGGGCTATCAGGTAAGATTGGCTACCAAGGAATGAGTTTTGACAACCGCCGCCGTGTGCAATCTTGCAAAATATCGCGTTCGTGTGGTCTTTCTTTTTTCTGCGAATTCATTTGATATGAGCGCGTTGCTTGACTGCATGAACCACTGCTTCGGGTGTATCTTACAGGTTTTCTCAATGCAGGAAGTTATTTTAAAGGGGCCCTGCGGAACCTTTTCAGGTAGCCATGACATTAATTACGTAAATGATTTTAGTGCCTCACAAATTCACTGCCGCAAAATAATTAACAATCCGTCCAGTACTAGTGGAGTTACAAAGATTGGTCGCACGCTGCAATTCTCTCTCCTCTTGTCTCGCGTAAAACGCAGAAAGCTGAGCAGGGAGGGATAGGGCGCGGGCTAAAAAAAATACGTCATGGGCGCCTCGTGACCTTGAACAATTGTTCTCTTTCTCTCTCTCGCTCTTTTTTTTTTGGGGGGGGGGGGGGGGAGTGTGACTATGGTGACGGGGCCCGTCAACGCAGTACTATCTTTAGAGTGAGGGGGCCCGTCAGCGTTGTGCAATCGTCACTACAGTGACGGGGCCCGTCACCGTAGGGAAAAAGTAAAAATGAGGGGGCCCGTTCCCGTAAATTTGTAGTCATTTTAGACGCCGCCGCTTCGCTGTACTGGTGGCGTTTAGTGGGTTGACGCGCAGTTGGAGAAGCGATCGTGCCTCAGGGTATCAGTTCGAATACGCGTTTTGTTATTTTTTACTTTTTTCTTTTTATAGTAATGCTTCAAGATTGACGTTACTGCTCAGAAGGAGTCGTAGTTTTGCTTTTTTATACAAGAAAATCATGCTGCTCTTTGTGCCGGTTGTTAGCTTACCATGTGCATTTCGTGGCGTCATGTCGTTGGTGTCCGACTTCGGTTTGAATCGGGCTCTTTTTTTTTATTTTCGGCTCTCAGTATTGTTTCAAGTATTGTTACTTGTTTGTCAATGACAATCGTGTTTATTCATCGGGCATATAATTATCACGCTTATTTTACATCCAACGTGGAATGGAGACTTCTACTCTATGATTGCCAATTGATACTACGTTGTGCGAGCAGATTCCGTTGTATGCATATGAATTAACTTTATGATCACATTGAACAACCACCCACAGCGGGGTTAGCGTCTCTTTGCATTCATACCGCATCTGCAGCTAATAATTTCTTACGCATAATATAATGTTGCCAAATTAATCCATTCCCCGTATTTTTCGTGTCGCTGTAAAGGAGACATATGGCCGATGCCAAACGTTGTGCAGGTCAACTTAGAATGTGTTCCAACCCTGAGTGTTGTGTAGTTGGACAGTATGTTTTGCTAAGTCCCAAAACCACAGTACATATGACTAAAATACATGTAGCTCCGACTTCGGGCCTCCTTCACCTGAAATCGCACGCACAGACTTATTCATATGATCAAATCAGCTTGTTTAAACAAGTGGATGTGAACATCGCTTTCGTCCCATGAATATAGGCTATATGCTATGCAAATGTAGATTGATATTCGAACTTTCTACGGCGCGGTTGATACTCGCACAATGGTGTGCTCTCTGTAGCGGTCTTGCCATCCTGAGACGACGCTCGTCCTGCGGAAGTGAAACGTCTTCCGTGTCGTTCTCGGCGATTAAAATGCGAGCGCACCGAAGGAGTGGGCATGTACCGGTCATCTGGTTGCTTTATTTACAAGTGCTAGCTGGTGCGGCTGCGGGCTTGGGTAAACCGCAAGGCGTGACCCAGTCGATTAAACGAATACGCAAGAATGAACATGCATCTAGCAGCGTCAATGTATCCTACGATGAGAAAAGTTAGCAGTAGGAAGCTTGAACGCAGTCACCTCACGCAGCAGTGACAAAAAACAATAAAACTTCCCCAATCATTTCAGTAACAGCACAATTCAGCAGCTCTATGTTGAGGAATGTCACTATAGGCAGCGTTATTTAAACGGGTCACTTCACAATTGCATCGTTACGGTTGTATTAATTGCCTCGTTGCGTTAGTGTAAGTCTGTGCACGCGCTTTTAGTGGTAGTAGTGAAAACTCACTATACTTGCAGTACTGCTATAGATTTCGCGGTGAGGGGAGCTCAGACCAGGGTTACGCATCCAACGGTGGCTGATTAGCGAGCAGGGTCCGTCAGCGAAAACGTCGACTCGATCAGCTGATCGTCCAGGTACACGCGGGCCAGCGGCTCCTTCCATTGCTTCACTGTATAGGATGCTATTCAGCATGATTCTCTTTAAAATAGGCAACATTACTCGAAACAATATTGAAAGCGAAAAAGAAAGAGACAAGTTGAGTTGGTCAGCGCTTCTCGAACTGAAATGGCCCAGAACAACGCATCATGTTCCACACCAACACAATGTACCTCCTGCGCCTCGAAAAATCAACGCGGTAGGGCCGTATAACAACCGGCCCCAATAGCGACATGATTTTCTTGCAAAAAGGTCAAATTACGACTCCTTCACAGCAGTAATAACAATGTTGATGCATTGTCCTCCAAAAAAGCAAGAAGTAAGAAAATAAGAAAACGGGAATTTGAACTGACGACCTGTGGCACGCTCGCTAACTGCGCATCAACCCACTACACTATACGAACAACGACACGGTGGCGTGTAAAATGACTACGAATTTACGGCAGCAGGCCCCTTCATTTTCATCATTTCACTAGGCCCTCTAACCGTAGTCATTGCTTTACGGTGGCGGAGCCCGTTACTATAGCTGCATCGCTATTATGACGGGTCCCCTCACTATTACGATTTTACTACGCCGAAGGGCCCCCTTTCTTTACCTATAGTACTGCATTTACGGGCCCCGTCACCATAGCCTTTTCTTTCTTGGAATACTCCGCTTTTCAGTGCGATCGCGCACGCACGCGTGCACAAGCCACGGCCTCCCGGGGCGGACCCTGTAATGAGCGAGCGTGCCATGCTCAAATCAGCCAGTGGTTGATAGAATGAATGTGAAGAGAGGTCTTGGAGCTTGTAGCGTCATTTGTCGAGAGAAAAGAAAGCAGTTTTAGCTGACCTTAAATACTTATTGTGAATTCCTTGCCGCCTGCCGGGCTATAATATTTGGCTCGCGTGTTTTCGGGAGCCTCAACTACCGATCGGCAGCGTTTTCTGACCATGCTCAAAAATTGTTGCAGAGTCCCTTTAGTAATACATGGCATTACTTTGCGATGAAATATCGGGCAATCTTACATGTGCGTTGTCACAGGAGAGAGTGAGAAGGTGTGGTCAGCATCATTTAACGTCTATTTGAATTTCAAGGAGAACAAAAATTAAACATTCTCTCTTGCGTGGCGGATGTGTGACGCCTCAAATTGGCTCTTGTATGCTTTAATTAGAGGAATATAAGAGAAGCCGTCGCTGTGCAGTAGGCGTTAGTCAGGCTGATGATGATCCTTCTATTGTTATGGTTTGAGCGTCATTCCAACATTTTACCTATGAAAGAGTGAGCTCTCCTTTGTTATAGAATAGAATGAAGTCGCGAAATAACAACAAAAAAATCATCTACGGACGCGCTGTGAGTGACGTGCCTCGACATTCTTCTCGTTTCAAGAGTGTTACAAGCGCATTAAATATGACACGCACTTGAGCTACGTTAATATACCTTGCGTATATATGAAATGTCGATTAGGTCAGTTCTAGCCGAAGCGGAAGCTTCTATGGAAGAAGTGGCTTGAAGCCAAAAGTAGTGCTGTGATGCAACGGCAATATCCTCGCGCCTGTGAAAGAGACTCATACTTTAGGGCATATTGTGTGAGATTATACATGAGTGTTGTCATTAAGATGGGCATAGTTATAACGCCAATACACTACACTTTTGGCTTTAATATCTCACTATCTTGGTTTGTATGTTGTGATTACTGGCATATATCATATACATGAATAGTTTTGAGGCATTAATCTGTCAAGTTAAGCTAATATGGTGCTTCGTTGTATAAGGTTCTTGTTAAAGCAACCATATATGATGCCGTAATTGTAGCATTTCGTCAAAACAATGCGCGTATCGTACTCGCTCATTTGCACTTCCCTATTAAATGTGTTGGGCAACACGCTTCTAGTAATAACCTAGGGGCCGTGAAAATGAATAAACTCTAAGCAGTACGCCGCGTCTTAAAATATTTCTCTTTTATTTATATTGTGGGGCATGATGGGTTTTTTTTTCAGGGCTGAACCTGATGACATCCGAGGACATCTTAATTTAGGCAGGCTTTTGACTACTATGCGCCACTACGAAAAAGCTGAAGCCGCTTTTGTGAAGGCAAGTACTGAATTGTTGCTTTCACAGCTCAAGCAATTGTTCTCTGGAATTTAGCGCCCTTAGAGCCACCCTTAACGAAGTACAAAGCTCTCGTTTAAAGCTCGACGCTTAAACGCGATCCGGGATACATACACCTCTTTATTCATTATCTTACATCGAAATATTTACTTTCTACACACAGCCAAAAAAAATTCCGCACCGTGCATGACACGAATTGGACACGCAGAGCGAGGAAAACACTCGTTTTCACAGTACAGTCACGTAAACTTACCATCTGACTGCATTTTCATGGTATGTAAAACTGTGAAACTTTATGTATTTTTATTTACAAAATTTCACTTTGCGACACAATGAGATAAGAAACCCGTAATGATAACTTGCTGTAGTTAACCTGGCATTTTTTTTATTGCGTAAACGACTCGATACACAATTATTAAGAAAAAGTTGCAGTAATGTTTCACTTCCTAAACTCGGGCAAGCGAGTGGTTGCTGATCAAGTGAACATGCTGTCCTGTAGAATATCTTTTTAAGTTAACCAGGATGACGTCGTCGTGCTCAGTGCTTCTCGCGGGACGCTTAACACTCTTTAACAGTGGATGCGATAGCGTTATCAGGTCCCGTTTGCTTCTGATCATTCGCTTGCCTTCTGGGTGGACGCCTGAACCGTACTGTGAGAGAAGGGACGTTCGTGCACGTTGCAGGCTCCCCCAGGACGCCTACTGCAAATACAGTTGTGAAGTACTCCCTAAAAAGTGCTTCTCTAGAAGGCACACTTTGGGCTGTCTGGGGGGCCCGCGAGGTGGTGGGGAGCTTCGGGCTCTCTGTGCCGACGTGTGAAGAGTACATCTGGCACCAAGCCCAGTGTCCTTCGGGATGCCTTCTTTGAGCAATGACGTTTTATCGCCGCCACCACCACGTACTACACCATAATTTGTGCTTTTGCGAATTGGTGCAGTAGCCACTACGCGTTTGTAAGGCAATACGCGCACATATGCAGCTCCGCACTTCGTTCATGCTGTTGCTGATGACTTTGAACTCGACTGGCTGAGCCGATATGTAATAGGAAAAAAGCTTCAACCTATTCACTCGGTGCGTAATTCACTTCACACACTACGATGCTTAGACCAACTCTGCCCTTCTGTCACGCTATATATATATATATCTATATATATATATATATATATATATATATATATATATATATATATATATATATATATATATATATATATATATATATATATATATATATATATATATATAGTTGGGAATGTATTTATTCCTTCAGAGTAGAAAAATAGTAGTCAAGCAATGAGTATGGCAGCCGTTGTGTATTTTCGAACACCAAACACGTCGTTGTCCTCTTCTGCGCACCACCTCGCATAGAGATAGCCGCAACTAGCCGCAACCTCGCAACATCGACCTCCGGCGGCAAAAGCGCCGACCCGGTGCTTGTTAGCAAGTGTTGGACGAGAGGTAGAGCTTCAAGCGAGCGACGTGGACAATGTCGGAAGATGTGCAGGGCATCGGAGAGTTTAGAGGGGCTATATCATCGGTAACATCAGTTACTTGGCCTAGCACATGGTAAGGTCCGGAATACTTGGGTAGAAGGTTTTCGGCCATGCCAACATGCCGTGACGGAGTGCACAGAAGAACGATGCCACCCGGATTAAAGTGAACGTTCCGATGGTGGCTGTCATAGCTATGTTTCTGGCGGAGCTGTGAGTCTTAAAGGCATCGATGAGAAATCTGACAGGCCTTCTCGGCTGTGCTAACAGCGCGGCGAGCATATGCTGTGGACAGGTCGACAGGGATGGGTATAATCGGGTCGAATGGCAATGTCTGGTGTCTTCCATACAAAAGGTAAAAGGGAGAATATCCAGCAGTATCGTGACGTGAGCTATTGTAAGCGAAAATGACAAAGGGTAGCGCAATGTTCCAGTCGCCATGATCAGTCGACACGTACATGGCGAGCATGTCAGTGAGCGTACAATTCAAATGTTCTGTGAGGCCGTTCGTTTGAGGATGATAGGCCGTCGTAAGCTTGTGCTTGATTGCACAAGAACGAAGTAGGTCGACGATTACTTTAGATAAAAAGTACCGACCACGGTCGGTGACTAGTTGACGAGGAGCACCGTGATGTCTCGTAATGGCAAAACGGGTCAAATAATCTGTAGCGACGGCGACCCACCTGTTACCGTTAGTAGAAAAAGGTCAAGGCCAACACAATAGAAAGACTCGGCAGGTATGTCGATCGGTTGAAGGAGCCCGGCTGGTTGTACAGCTGGTCTTTTGCGACCTTAGCACGACTCGCAAGAAGCATCATATTGTTGTATGGAACGGTAGAGGCGGGGCCAGAAAAAGCGTCGGCGGACACGGTCGTACGTTCTATCGCAACACCAAGCTGGTGTTACGCCTGGGAGTCCACACCGAACGTCATTGCCTCTGCAAAGGCTATCTGTGCCAAGGCCAGTGAGCGAGCCCACCTATATATATATATATATATATATATATATATATATATATATATATATATATATATATATATATATATATTATATATATATAGATATATATATATATATATATATATAATATATATATATATATATATATATATATATATATATATATATAGTTAGATAGAAAGATGAAAGCTTTAGATCTCTCATCAAAGGCCGAAATTTACCGGTGTCTCGCGATAACGTCACCATATCGAGTCATCACGGCGTCACTGGTCGCAAATTTTTGACTCCATCTTGGCGTTTCTGTGGCGTCATTATGTGACATGATTGCTTGGTCAAACGCGGACTGATCCCGGAGGCAGTGCAAAATCATGTTAGTTGCGGAAAGAGTATTTTATAGATGAGATAAGTATGCCTATCCATGAAAACGAAAGTTACTACGCTTGGTCTGAGTGTTCTTCGTGTGTATTCGTTTTTCGCGCTGTATCGCAATCATCAAACCATGTCAAGAGCCTGATTCCCAGACCCTAATAAGTTTATAAGTATTATTGTGCTGTATTGTTGTCCCAACTCTCCTGTTGACTCCCTCTGTCACGGTATTTCGTGTTCCATCCTCTGGACGGTTGTGTGCTAATACTCGTCTGAGTACACTCGATCTTCAATTCTTCCGTGCTCACCCGATTCTTTGCCTTCGCCTTTCTCCTAGGCCTTGAGCCTTCTACCAAAGCCCGAATCAAGCCAATCCTCAAGCCTCGTACGAGTCACATCAAGTCATCTCCAAGTGTACCTCGACTTCGCGTTCTTAATAGCACAAAACAGCAGTCGGGTGGATGAAGCTGACAGGGTAAGGACGAGCGAAACACAAAGCACGTGAAGCCTCCCTTAATTCTAAAACTTCCATCCCCTCATTTTTCAATAGAAAGAAAAAGGCACCCCCGACTTCTTGTAAATTAATCATGCTGACGTTATGTTTTACGTTTCCCCGAGCCACAAGCAATAACATTCTGAAACTATATTTACGTACCTTCTTTATTAAATACACAGGCGTACAACAAAGTTGCATTCTGGGAAGAAAGAGCTTTATTGTTCGATATTTTGGAATGTATACTGACCTTCTGTGGTTTTAGTTTCAAATTTACTTTTTTCATAGCTGCTGCTACTTACCGTAATTTTTTATAGCAGCGTGCATATTTAGCATTTTTAGCTATTACTATACTCAAAAGATATATATTAAAGGTACATCGATGATGGCATGGATTGTATCATTCTTTGTTTGCGTCTTTGGAGACGTCTGGCTCACTCCCGCATAGTTCACCAGTTCTGGAGTAACTATTCGATATTCCTTCCAGCTGTACCAGGAGGCCATCAGCCTCCGCTCAGACTTCACTGATGCCTACTTAAACAGGGGAGATTTTCTTCTTCGCATGAACAGGTAAGCCGAAAAATCGAGTAAGGAGCTTTTCTTTGTTCAAGAGTGCATCTCAACTCATTGGCTCTTTTTCGTTGTTGTTGTTTTCTTTGCAGGACAAAGGAAGCAGAAGCTATGTACGAGAGGGCTTTAGAACTAGATGAGAACAATCCAGACTTGTACTACAACGTAAGTGTCCTAGTTGTTCTCCAAAAGAGGTTTCCCGTCCCGAACATACTTTAGACGCGCTCAAGCTTCAGTAAATCGCCTCGATCGGTTTACTGGGACGCATATGTCGCGGCGCAAATGTCGAGGGATGAGCGAGTTGGCATACGTAGAAAGAGACGGGATCATCACGCACCCCTCAAGTGCGTTCTCGTCTTGTCCTTTCATACCTGCTCACTTTATTTTGTTAATTTTTTCATTTTTGCCAAGCAAAGTATGGCGCAAGCCTTTTAAAGCAGAGCACGCAAATGAGAAACTGTGTTAAACGCAGTAACACAGGACTAGATTCTATTTCATTCTATTTGGTTTGACCTCGCTTTTTTCTCAAATTATACATACTCTCGCGTGCGAATAATCATGCTCATTGCCAATTGCCTGTATGACGTTATGTGCTGTATACGGCGACATTCATAGAGTGGAATGCCTCTGATGAAATGAATCATAATCAGTATTGCCGTAGGGTAGACTTGAAAAGGAGCCAGAACTTTTGCTAAAAGTAGCCAAGATAGCCATTCCATTTCATTTCAGTGCCAAATTTAGAGCCAAATAAAGAAAAATGTAATAATATGTATAGAGTTGTTAGTACTAAGCAGTAAATAATATCTTGAATAAGCGAAACTAGAGTTTAGCGAGCAGAATAAGTTTCCCTGTTGCTTGGTCTTCAAGCAGCAGGTAAGTTGCAAATCATTTAACAAAATTCAGTACGCCTGCATAAAATTTGTCTGCAATAGATAAAAATGTCGCAAAAGTAATTTTGGGCCAAATCAGCAGGACCATTAAACGTTGAAGATGTTTTATTTTTGAAGCCGTAGACCGCGATTGGCAAAAAATTATAACACCAGCAAAGCTTCAAGCAATATTATTTGATAGAAGATGAACAGTCGAGCTTCATTCTGTGTCAGATGTCTGTCGCATGCGCTATGCTTCAGCATTGTAACCACATGTCAGCATAGAACTATATAGCCACCTGTTTCCCTACATGCATGAGTCCCTCAGTCGTCTCAGACGGAGGTATGCTCGTTGGGGCTCCTGGATGCCCACAAGCCTACTCGTGGTGCAAGGACATGTGTGCACATAGGCCAACGCAACGGAAAAGCTTGCAAATAGTGGTTATCCTTAAGACTTGCTCGTTGTTTTGTCTTCCAATAATATGAAGAAATGGCCAGTAAATGTGCCAAAATAGACATTTAATGAAGCCAAGGAGTCCACATGGCGCAAACCTGAAATTTTCATAGCAAGACAGGGTTGCAAAGTAGCCAATTTGGTGCAAAGTAACCATCAATGGCAACCCTGATCATCATCATCATCATTTCTCCTTCTGGTAATTAGATAAATGCAAAATATCATACGTTGTTTACATTCATCGTCAACTTATTGATTCCCAGTTAATCAACGCTGTGCTCCTGGAGGTATCCCACACAGCTCGCTACACCGTCTTATATTCATCGCGTGGTAACATATATTTTATTATAAGTGTAACTGCCGCGTAAATGCAACATGTAAAGTTTCCCAATTGTACTCATTTAGGCAAACTCCACAGTTCATAGATATTCTACAAATGCATCCACCATTCAAAACTTACCCATTTGTCTCCTATAGCCTCAAACCACTTCGACACACTTTTTGTAATCAGGATGCGCGCTCAATGCGCCTTCTTCTAGAATGTGCACCACGAACCACGACGCAGGAGGGGTGTAGGCGAGTGACCTGCTGGCATTACCTTATCCTCAGCATGGAAGTACGATAGAGTTTAATCAGCAGGCAAGTTAAAAATAGTAAAATACCCTAGCAAGCACCGTTCTCAATTCGAAGAAGGGACATTACGCAATTATAACCTCCTCTCTTCTTAATCGCGAATGGCAGATCCCCAGCTCTGTTATGCTTCGGGAACATACCACGATACGTCCCAAGAAACGAAACAGAAACGCTGGCATGACAAATATATATATATATATATATATATATATATAATATATATATATATATATATATATATATATATATATAATATATATGTGTGTGTGTGTGTGTGTGTGTGTGTGTGTGTGTGTGTGGTGTGTGTGTGTGTGTGTGTGTGTGGTGTGTGTGTGTGTGTGTGTGTGTGTGTGTGTGTGTGTGTGTGTGTGGTGTGTGTGTGTGTGTGTGTGTGTGTGTGTGTGTGTGTGTGTTTGTGTGTGTGTGTGTGCCAGGATAGCCTGACGTCACGGCTTTAAACATGGCAGCCCCCATTTCTGACCTTCTTCGTTAGCGCTGTTTCACAATGGAAGGCAGCCTTCCTCACATCGTTTTTAACGTAACCATTGGTTGAAGTGTTAACTGGCTTCTAGCTTAAGATGGCTTTTGCGAACCTATAGTGTCAAAAGCCAGATTGCGAATGATTCTGTCGTGGCAAACTATCTGCCCAGGCCTTGTAGTAGGTAGATTCGCCATGCACATAATTGCGTTGAATTTTCTTTTACGCAGATAATTTCATGACCTAGAACTGTTCGTAAGAGCCAATCACCATCCTGCACTTAATACGAGTGAAGGCCAAACAAGGCCTTGTCACATGGCCAATAACACATGGCCAGACAATGCAATTAGGAAGAAAAAGTTTTGTAAGTTCGGCCCCAGGTTTGTTTTTTTTTATCACGGAAATATCGCATACGTAACGAAGCGAAGACTTACTTTTATTTAGATTCTTTCAAGGCAAGAAATTTGAAGAGTTTTCAAAAAGTTTACCGGAATATTTTATTATAAACATACTTTAAGTTCGTAATTTAAGTACCTAATTAGGAATGTGAGGGTAAATATAACTTCATAAATGTATTCATTCCCTTAATGAGTGTCGGGACAAACAGAGCACCGCTCAGCTCAAAGCAATGCGTACTTTTTTTTTCACCAGAAACATATAAACTATATTTCAAAGTATCCAGTGTAAAAGGCGCTCGCAGTGTTTAATGTTATTGGAAACAAAAGTTCCCCAAACTCATTTTGTCAGAGCTGCAACCACGCCGAAGATTTTGTTTTCGCTTCCTTTAAGTTAATGAGCTTTCTCTATTACATAGCAGCCTTATAAAGCAGGATGTACAGCAGGCGTCTTAATGTGCTCTAATATAATAATGGATGCACTTGTTGTGGGTCTTTGAAGCTTCGCTTACGTAGTCGGTTAGAATTAGTATGCATATTATATTTCGCCCGCCAAGCGCATTTGCAAGCACAAGCTTCTTTGCGATTCCCGAATGAGCACTACTCATGGGCCAAAGCCGCTCTCTCCGCAAAAGCCCTTTTTATTCATTTGCGGGTAATCTAGAGTCCAGTCTGAATCACGCTTTTATAGAACGGCCAGTCGGCCGCTTCAGCCGCCATTCTTTGCGAAAATATGCATAGACCAACGTCATAATAGTACTGAACACACGTTCATACCGCATACTAGGATCATTGTGCTATAATTTAAGCATCAACGAAAGCTTTTAGCTGAGGCGAGGTACCAGCTGCAGAAGGCACCAGCATGCAGAGCCGTGGGCTCGACCGTTTTATAGACAAATAAAGTAGCTTACCAGGCTACTTTCACGCACATTCAAAAAATACAAATTTGCTCTTTCAAATGCAATGCATGTTTTTTTTTATTTCCTAAAGTTTTTCGCACCGTTAGTCATAAATTCTAGACAAGCGCAGATTAGGCTGTACAATATAAGCTGATTTATCCTGGTTACAAACCACTGTGAGCTTCACAACTTCGAGATACGGCGCAATTCACCGCGCGGCCGTTTACGTAACGCTTCCACAGGTATTCGCTGCATTGACTGCTTACGAAATAAAGCGTTCACATATTCTGGTTTATATGTTTCGCTGAAAGCATGGCATTGTCCACCCTGAGGAGAAGCGATTTGTCAATCTAGGAGCCCACATATGAGTTTAGAAGCTGCACGAAATTCACAAAAGGTACAAGAAATATTCAATTAAATAACAGGAAAAAACACTAATCAGGCGGTTTTAGCTTGGAACGGCTGTGCAATACAAATACGTATTACTATTCCTCAAAAAATTATGCTTTCCCCACTGCTATACAAAAAAAATATTGATGAGTTCAATGCACTTATATAATTCAGTTTTATTTTTTAGGGGATGTATTATTCTGACAAGGAGTGAGACGAGGTAAATTAACAGGTTGTCGAACCAGGCGCGCGTCCGGTTTGCTACCCTACACCGGGAAAAATAGTATAGGAGATAAAAATGAAGAAGGGAACATGAAGCGTCGCGCTTCATCCGAGAGGGTGCATTAATAACACAGTCATTGATGCCTGCTTATAGTTTGTCCAATAAAACTTGTTGTTGGGCTAGTTGGACGGTAAATAGCACTCTCGGTGGTGTGTGTTTCTTGGGTGGATGAGTGATCAAATGTATGAGTGTTTGTGGTAATATAAAGTTGCGCCAATTTTCTTACAGTATGCCTAGTACGGTTCCTGTGATTGAGGTATATATTCTTGGATTACGTAGTGGTACGCGAAAGTTTACCTACGATTTATTGATGGTGTTATGCGTGCCAAAGAAACTTCAGCCAGCTTTTTAAACGCATTTGGTTATATGTGAAACAATTTTTTGCTTCCAACATTGTTCAATGTGAAAATTATTAACGTTGTTTGGCTGTCAAATCAAGCTCTCAACGGTGCATGGGGGTGGCTTAACTGTGAAGACCATGTAATGGCCTTTACAAAGTAAGTGGGAACGTTAGTTTGTTTAAAAGAGTTTTGACACCTAGCGCAAACCACACGCACGCTTTGCGCAGCTGGGAGTCATCCTCATGGACCAAGGCCGCAACGATGAAGCTATGGCTCTGTTTAACCGCGCGCTGGAGCTTGACCCCGACCATGAGGTACGTTGGTTTAGGCATAGCTACGGGCTAGCTTTGCCACTTAGCCTGTTGTCAGATTGTATATTATCCGTAGGCATTGTGGCCGCTTTCATTTTGTTATGCCTTTCTTTTTACGAGTGCAGTGAGCTGGCAAATTTGGTATTGATTCATTTTGATACAGCGCAAAAAGGACAAAACTTACTAAAGCCCACATACGACTGGACACAGCGCTTACTATCAATTGACATATTTATTTTCAATTCAAGGAACAGGTTTATAAGGGGTTAACCCAAGTACTTTTACCTCGTAGTCAGAGTACTTGGATGACCCTTTACAAATATTTAATCTTGTATTCTAGAATGTCCCATCAATCAACATTTTGCATCGACTCATGAGTAGAGCAACCCCCGGACAAAAAGTAGTCATTACGCTTCACCACGGTGTTCGAATAATCTAATTTATTCTAACGCCGCCCCCTTTATGGCGCCTCTCGCACATTGTCAATTCATGTAACGTCTTTTTCAGAAAAATAGCATCGTTCCATCCAAGTGGTGGGAAAGTTGAGGACTACTGCATGACGCAGCTTACACTAGGTGTACAGGAGTTTTCAAGAAAGTGATCTTTTATGCGCACACCAGGAAAACAATATTTCACGAACACATTTCTTGTGTCCAAGTTTAATACATCCGCTTCTGACTTCGATATTGCTGAACTCTTATTGTCATAGAAAGACCTAAGTATATATATATATATATATATATATATATATATATATATATTATATATATATATATATATATAGATATATATATATATATATATATATATATATATATATATATAAATATATATATATATATATATATATATATATATATATATATATATATATATATATATATATATATATATATATATATATATATATATATATATATATATATATATATATATATATATATAAGTCACCAGAAGAAGCGATATATATCATCACTGGTGTCTTCGATGCTCGTTTTAAACGACGAAGCCATTGTTGACCATTAGATACTCGGTCATTTCGCTCTTCTACACGAAAGTTCTTGTGTACGCTACTGACGTTCTTACCTTCTTACTTAGTTATACCGCAACATCTAGAAAGATTTTTACCTTATAGAAATTTCTTATATTGTCGCGGCGCAGTCACAGTTAGTTCGTAACGATGCAGAAGCGAGAGGAAGAGGTCACAAATGAAAAATGAAGAACGTCGGCCGCAATGCAATCTCGAGATATTATGCAATGAGCGCAGTCTATTTCACTATTTCATTATTTCGTCGTCCTAAACAATGCCTCAAAATCACCATCTGCGCTAAAACGCCAGCCGCGAAGCCGCTTCTATGGTTATATCTCAAAATGGAGCAAACTTTATTAAGCGTAAACTTATGTAGCACGCAATATGTCTACGGCGTGCAAGGAAAATTTCGGCCTGCACCACCGAATGCACGATAGGCTAGACAGTAATATATCTTTTCAGAAAATATAGAAGGTAAGACAGCGTGCATTGCATTTGGAAAAGCATATTTTTATTCCGTGAAAGGGCATTGCAAAACCCGTTTATATTTTCCAGCATGCCCTCCTCAACTCTGCTTTGTTGCTTCAAGAAGCAGGATCTGCAAGTCAGAAGAAGGTGGCCAATGAAAGGTATAATCCTCAGTAGGAGTCTGTGCTGACTCTCTACAGGTTGTGGGACATTTAAGTTCGCATACGAATGGGCAGTTTGCTTTTTTTGTATCTTTTAACGATCCAGCTGCATTTTAAGCACCTTGATGTAAAAGTAATTACCAAACAAGCTTTTGATTTGCGTTATGCGCTTTTGCATTTCTTTTTTGCTTGAAGCAAAACTAATGATCCAGATATTCTTGATCACCTCTTCCGATTCTTCCGCTTTCACTTTAGTCAGACCGTTATTCTACCGTTTTTTTTTTTTTTCACAGAATTATACGGCGCAGGTACGCTCTAATTTCCATCTACAGCACTGCACTTTATCAGGTCAACATGCAAACATACAAAAAAGCATACTGCACTGCTTTAACTACCAAGCTTTCACTTACCTTTTGGAAATGCATTCACTTGACATTGCGCGTATAATGGGGCCGCTACACATTTAACGTCAACTATAGGCTTCGCCAGACGTATCTGTATCATCTCTTGAATGCTTGCATCCAATCGTTTCTCTTTTCCAAATATCTAGCAAAAGGCCTTGCCTAACCGGGAAACTTGCGAGAATGGCAAACTGCGCGTAACTTTGCACTTGCTTCCTAAGTAATTCTCCGATCTAAACGTACATGTTGAGTTTTTTAAGAAAGAAACCTGAACCTTGGCACTTCTCAGTTCGCCAGCTGTTCGCCAACTACAATGAATCCACGTCCAATGCAATTGACTTGCAATATAAAAACTATACATCGTCGCATGTGCAGCTGATGCGAGCACCGCCTCTAGGAATCTGTGCCGCGAGCAAAGATTGCTGAACTGTCACTTGCCATGAGTTCGCGAAGAACTTGGCGTTGTTTCACCGAACACCACTTCGCGCGCATTGCCTGCAGGTTGGAGAAAGTCGTCCACAGTGGAAAGAGAGACGAACGAGCCTACTTTCACCTGGCTATGCTGGCGCTTGACAAAAAGGACCCGGTTGCCGCTGAAAACTGGCTGCGAAAGGCTGTTCTGGTGAGCTGAAAAGCCATCCGGTTGTGTAAACGATACCCTTGATTATTACAAGTTGCTTCTGTACTGTTTTGTAATATTACATATCGGAAACGAGGCGCAACTTGACACTGCCTCATTCACACTCACATTCACACACGCAAGCGCTCACTACCACACCCCACAAATATCGCCAACTAACAACTGTTTAATATCCGGAAAGGGACGCATGTATGTCAACGATGGTGTGGATGTGCGACTTTCACTAATAAAAAATAGGTGCAAAAATTACAAAAAATGCTCATGAGCAACAACACAAGCCACCATACATGTCAACGCAAAGGAGTCATAAGCACTCAAATACTTCTTTCATAAAAATTAAGCGCCTGTCAGAGTTATATCTATATTTACGGATTGTCGAAAATTATGTCGAAGGAAATTTATGCAGCTTCTAAACAATTGTACTGCATGAAGGTTCGTAGCTCCTACAATGACTCACGCACATTTACCCCCCCCCCTATCAATCAAATAATTACAATGGCTCACACAGTCCCACAGGACGACTCAGACTCACTTCTCATTCTGAATCTGATTGAGTCGGAGTGAGTCGACTCACGAGTCCGTTAGTCTAGAATCAGCTGTTTTGGAATAGGTATCAATGCTTTTTAACATCAATATCTCACATCGGTGCTCTTCTTTGCGCATTTTGATAGAGAGCTTTATAATACGAGTTATGAGTATTTGAAAACCAGTGAACACATTATTCCACTCTGCTGTAGTTTCATTATAATCCTGCAAATATTATAAATCTCGAACACGAATAGAGTAGTGCTTCTCTTAGGCAACTCGAAACGGTCAAATATCTGTCTCTCTTCGTCAGAGGTTTAACTACATTTACGGATTGTCGAAGGAAATCCATGCAGCTTCAAAACAATTGTACTGCAAGAAGGTTCGTAACAAGAAGTGGTTGTTTCTAGTCATATGCTCCTTATTTGACCGTATATGTCCTATTATGAACGTCATTAATCATTGATACGTGAAACAAGCTTAGTAGGGCAATTTTTACCAAAAATGTATTATATATATATATATATATATATATATATATATATATATATGTGTGTGTGTGTGTGTGTGTGTGTGTGTGTGTGTGTGTGTGTGTGTTAGTGTGATATTCTACTTGGTGTTTTAAGTGATGTTTTTAATATAAGTTAGCTCCAGTATTAGCTATCACTTTCATTGTTTAGATGCACTGCCTGTGGTCTGTGACATGTAATACTTGTTATATTCATGTCCGCCATGGTGGAGCAGTGGCTACAGTGATCTCCTGCTGACCCGAAAGCCGTCACTCCGATCCGGGCCGCAGCGTTCGCATTTCGATGGTTGAGAAATGGTTGGGTCCCGTTGGCTGTACGATGTCAGCGCACGTTAAAGACGACCAGATGACCGCAATTTCCGGAGTCTCTCGTTATCATATCGCGGTTTTGGGACGTAAAATGCCGGATGAAATTATTATTATTATTATTATTATTATTATTATTATTATTATTATTATTATTATTATTATTATTATTATTATTATTATTATTATTATTATTATTATATTATTATTATTATATTCATAGGTTGCCGTAATAGGCCTTTGTAAGATGCAGGAGCGAAGCTGTGTCAGCGCATACCTACACTGAAAAGGGTCATTAAGGGTAACTAACTGGATTCCCAGAGAAGGCAAGCGAGTTAGGGGGAGACAGAAGGTTAAGTAGGCAGATGAGATTAAGAAGTTTGCGGGTATACATTGGCAGCAGCAAGCACAGGACCGGATTAACTGGCGGAACATGGGAGAGGCCTTTGTCCAGCAGTGGACGTAGTGAGGCTGATGATTACACTGAAAAAAAGTCACAGCTTTGTCGCAAAGGTGAAGTAATGAACGCAATATCAACAAATTGTAAGGTCGCGTGCAGAATGACAAGCAGATCGAAACGTGCCCCTTGTTTCTCACGCACAAATGACGCACAAAACGCATTCACAGGCACAGATGAACGCGAATAAGCGTCTCAGTTGTTACTTCGCTGTGTCTAAAAAGCCCGCCCTTTTCACAAGCGGAGACTGTGCAACGATTGCACTGACCTTTGTGCACCCGGTAACTACAACAGAATCGTTCTAGTGAAAGCCCAAGGCCAGCCTAGACGTACGATTGTCCCTCCCCCTACGAGATAAGCGCACGTGTGAGCTTCACCCTGCCCCCTCTCCATGGGGCAAACTACGCGTGAGAATGAGAGCGTGCGCCGCCGCGTCTTGACGATGTGATGACGCGCGCTCAGTGCGCCATCTCGCTGGTAATGCTGAAAACACGATAGTTTTCCCACGATGCCCGTCACCAGCGGTCAGTGGTAGATATAAGTAGCTTGCTGTTTGAATGTCTAAAGAGGTGCTCCTTTGTGGCTCAGTGGTTAACGCCTCGCAATCACACCTCAGAGGTCCCGCGTTCGATTCCGCGTGCCGGAGTCTCTTTCATGCTTTATGTATTAGTTCGTTCTACACTGTGAAAAAATCTTCGGAGCCATGCGCCTTCTCTGTCGCCAAGAATTCCCCCACCTTCGCCCCTGACGAGCAGGGACCCTAGCTTCGCGGCTTCGCTGGAGCTAGTGATAAGGCAAGCATGAAAATATATGGATAGGTCGGTTGCTATTCCGGCGCTCTATCGCTATCTGCTGCGTATTTTCTAATATAGCACGCTGGCATGCACTTTTGCGTAGTTTGGCCCCAGCTGGAGGGCTCCGTTGTATTTTGGAGGCGCCTGTAATATTCTCTGGAGTTTAACGTCCGAAAACCACAATATAAAGATGAGAGATGACGTAGTGCAGGGCTCCGGAAATTTTGACTATTTGGTGCGTTTTTTTTATTGATACGATATATAGGGAGATGTTGGCACATTAGTAAGGCGCCGACTACTCCTTAGCTTTTGAGTAAATACTGAGCATATATCTTAAGAAAGGGAAAACAAAGAGCAATACATGGAAAATAAAACACACACATGCACATACCTGACAACACCATTACAATGTATAAGAAAACGTCCGAAAGTCAATGAATAAAGTCTCCGATGAGTCATCATTGAATCCAACCGGCACCACATAGCAGTCAACACGCCCAATGTTCTTTAAAGGTAGATTCACACGAGGGAACGGGGGAGAAATTTTCGCAGCGGACGGCGCATCACGTGACGTGCGCGTCATCGAAACGTGCCATCCTCACTTCATCCACTCTCCTCCGCTCGTGGCACGGATGAAAATGTGTCGTCTCTATTTCGGTCCCTCCGTTTGACGGTCGTCTGCTCTCGATCGAGAGGATTCAGCGTCAAATCTCTCAACATTGGTCGGGTTGGCGTGGCTAGGAAGCAGGCAGCCGGCTTCAAAGCCACGTGTTTTATACTCGGCGACCACTTTTCTTCGCACTGAAGGGAAAGCTACGGAAGCGGACCTTCTGCACATGTAGCACCACGCGAAGTAGTCCGTGTTGGCGCGCGTCTCGTGACGCTGTGGAAAGTGACGGGGGTGCACCATCAGCTTTTCATGTAGACGCAGACGCCACTTAGCGTTCCAGGTGCACGTAAAAAGGCGGGACTTTCTCACGCGTTTAAAAGCGCCAAGACACAACAGATAAACTAAAGGAAATACGAAAATCTTACTGGTGTAAGCTGCATCCTGTCTCCACATAGAAAACAAAGGTGGAGCATGCGCGCTCCATAAGCATCGGAGTCGAGAGTATACGCACGACGATTCCGTAAGCGTAGATATGGCTGTGTGCATGCGACGTGTCCGCTGCCGCACGGGATGAACCTAATCATGCGACTATTTGGTACGCGGAGCAGCGGGATTTTGCCCTCGCGTATGAACCTCGCTTAAAGTGCACCGACATGGCACAGTACACCGGCCTCAACCATTTCGCCTCCACCAAAATGCGACCGCTGCGGCCCGGATTGAGCCCGCCATCATTGGGTGAGCAGCCGAGCCCCGTAACCGATAGACCACTGCGGTGAACCCCTGCACATGTCCTACATACAGTACTCAGAGATTCAAATGCAACATCAATTTTTGTTTTATCATCAGGACCGGTATGTGTGATTGCTCGAGATAGCCACGTTATGCCACGACGAATCTAGCCTCTAAAGATAATGTTACTGATTGATTTGATTGATATGTGGGGTTTAACGTCCCAAAACCACCATATGAATATGAGAGATGCCGTAGTAGAGGGCGCCGGCAATTTCGACCACCTGGGGTTCTTTAACGTGCACCTAAATCTGAGCACACGGGCCTACAACATTTCCGCCTCCACCGGAACTGCAGTCGCCGCAACCGGGATTCGATCCCGCGACCGGCGGGTCAGCAGCCGAGTACCTTAGCCACTAGACAAAGATAAAGTTACTTCTGATCTATGCGTTCGAGAAAAATTACGACATTATAACCCGACCTAATGTTCATGGACAGTAAAGTATAGGTGCATTACATAGCCCTAAAGTACCCTGTTTCAATCCGAGTGCTTTATACATGCATACAGAGTGTTTCAAGAAATGTGTCCAATATTATTTAAAAATTACAGAAAGGAGGCATCTGCGTGCCATCTGCGGCGTTCCTTTTACTGTGGAAGAAGGCAACTTGAGATGCGCACAAATACTAATTACGACCATAAATATACAAATTAAAGCATTTACCCGTTTAACCAAACGAAAAACCTGATCGGGTCCAATGGGTGAATTCAAGTCTTTACTGCGAATAGTCGAAAATCTACCACTGGTAATCACTGCGGAGCGATTAAATCTGCCTAATTTAGCAGGCAAAACCAAAACCGCTGCACCAAACAGCGCATCTACTATTCGCTTCGAAACACCCTCAATGACGACACTGTTCCCCTCGCATTGGGAGGGCATTATAATGAGCGAGCGTCACTAAGCGGCCACGAAGTGAAGTGTCTTGGTTGACGGTTAACAGCGATGAAAGCAGTGTCGTCACTGCTATTTTTTC